ATTGGTTGGGATTTATCATTGCCACTGTAATCACTTAAAAATAGGGGTAGGGTATGCTCATTAGTGGCCGTAGGAGCTGTCGATTTTGCAGCATCGCCGTCGGTGGGCATCGATTCAGACCCATCGGAGTGGGGATTTGTTGGTAACCGGCTCCATGAGTTATATTGAATTTCTGCAGACCCACCTCCACCTGTCTCAATATTGACTTGATGCTTTCCATAAGCATTCCATTGTGATGACCTAACATTATGCGTGACCCTTAGAACACAATTTTCAACTCGTATTTAATGATAATTTATTTCCTGCAAATAATTTTAATTATCTATAATTCCAACATTGTTACTTCGGCTGTTTGGCATACGGATAAAATGGCCGCGAACCGTTCAAAATCGAAAGAAGCAGCAGTTTTATTACACCGTGCGGCAAGCATTTTAACGCAAAATTCTGCCGAACGTGAAGGATGTTCCTCGGAGAGTGCAAGGAACAGCAATATGGACAATACAGTGCGTCCAATTCAACCTGCCCCAAGTCAACAAACCACAACTTCTAGTCACGATGAATTTCGGCGATTATTCGCCCCGCGTATATACAATAGGGCTAACAATAGTAGCTTCGTTCATCGGTAAGCGCGGTCGAGGTAATTTTTGAGGACAAACGCGTTCTTCTAAGCCACAAGATACGTGGATACACGATATTTTTGTTTGGCAAACGCCACAAGTAGCTCGCTGAATTAAATCGTAAATAATGCACTTTAAACGAGTAAGATGTAAAATGTATGAAGTGAATCTTGATGTGAAATTGTGAATACGCTGAATACGATATTTTACAATTATAACTCTCCGCTTCTAAAAGCTCCATCAAAAACACTCCTTTAGCTCGAGTAAACGCTTAGCAAGCGTCTTGTTTGCTGTAAATTTGTATGTATGATCACATTACATGTAACATTAAAATTATTTGCGGGAAATAAATTATCATTAAATACGAATTGAAAATTCGGTGTTCTGAGGGTCACGCATAATGTTACGTCATCACAATGGAATGCTTAATGACAGAATGCGCAAACAGAAGTGCAAATGCAATTGGGAACTGTAGTGTCCTTAGATACAGTATCGTATTGCATCTCAAACTAATTACCTTATGCTTGTACATATATAATAGTTATTTCTTAATATCACATTACATTATTATAGCACACAAGTGCGTGCGTGTGTTCGATTCGAGGTTATAATATAAACACAACATCTGGCGACGAGGATACTTAAACAAAAAACGAAGTTTACGAATCCATTGCTTCTTTACTGCGTACACCACTTCTGTAATCCAGATATCTACTGAACAGTCCTTCGAATCAAGGAAATCACGGCAAATCCCACGACAGACATTGCGATCAACATCAAGCACGAATCAACAGCGCCGCGCCACAGCATTCAGTCCGTATGGCTACATCACTACCCGTTTTTCCCCCGTTTGACGTTCACCTTGACTCTAATGCTGGTCCACGTTGGACCCGAAATGGCTTACTCGCTTTGAACGCTTAATTGTTGGCATGATTATAACCGATGCTACCCAGAAACGAGCGTTGTTATTACACTACGCTGGCCCAGGTGTTGACAATATTTTTGAAACACTACCCGACACGGGTGAAGACAAAGATTATAAAAAAGCCGTAGAATGTTTAAACACGTATTTCTTTCCGAAAGTCAACATGGTCTACGAGGAATATCAATTTCGTCAGGCCAAACAGCGCTCGAATGAAAACCTAGCTTCGTATCATACCCGGCTTAGACAGCTTGCCAAACACTGCGGTTTTGCTGACGTTGACAAAGAAATTCGCACACAAATTGTCTTCAGCTGTACCTCTCACAAGCTTAGACTACGTGCCCTTCGCGAGGACCTCTTTAATCTTTAATCTTTAATAAAATTTCTTTTAACACGGTAGCCTATTCAGTATAATATATACAGTCTGTTTTTCAAAGGGCCGTGCTATATAGTATTAACAGTCTTACAGCCCTTCTCGAAGCCGGTCGTGTAGCTGAGATCACAGATCGACAAGCCAGAGACATTCAACCTACCAGTACTGACCAAAGCGTCAATGCCCTTCCCTCACGTAGCAAACCATATCCTGTCCACCCGGATCAGCATGCTCCGCCCCACACTCCCAACAATCAACGAACACACACTCATTCGCTCTAGACCCCAGCAGCGCCCTCGTTTTGTCCAACAAATAGCTGATGATCCTGAGCAAGACCCTGTCTATACTTTTGTTTCTCCCACAGTCCCTGCACAATCGAGCCATCGAGTTATCCCACCTTAGCCATCAAGGCATTGTTAAAAGAAAGCAACTCCCACGCGAAAAAGTCTGGTTTCCAGACATTGACAAAATGGTTCATCATCATCATCAATCAATTTTATTTAAAATCAAAACACGCTAGCCTCGTACAACTAAAAGCTGATTTACAGGAGGGGCGTGATATATAAAACAGTAGAATATATGGAATATTATATGAACCCCCCAACCTTCCCCCCAACAACAAATTGAGAAAAATAAAGTCAAGTAAAGTAAATAAAGAGAGTTAACTATAATTAAGTCAACATGGTTCTAAAAGGACAGTTCCGCAATACTACGCTTAAATTGACTGAGCGAAGTCGCTCTTTTTGCATCTAATGGAAGATTATTCCACAGCATTGATGCGCTATATTTAAAGCTTCTCTTCAAAAAATTAGTTTTTGGTTTTGGAAGTGCTAGATCCGTTTCCTGATTTCGTAAATTATGGCGTCTATAAAGTTCACTAAGTCTTACAAGGCTTTCTCTTAAACATGGCGAACAATTTTCATTAAGGATTTTATACATTAGGATACTCTTCAACTTAGCCCGCCTAACATGTAGATTATCCCATCCTAAACCTTCCAAAAGATCACTTGATCTAATCCTATCATCATATCTTGCTCCAGTGATAACCCTAGCCGCACGATTTTAATTTGTAATATTTGCAATTTATCTTTTAATATTTTATCGCATGTATCCCACAGGGGAGAGCAATAATCAAAATACGGTTGAATTAATGATTTGTATAATGTAACAAGAGAGGTCTGCGGAACGAATGGTTTAATTCTCCTCAATGCTCCTATGCCTGAACAGATCTTCTTGCATATTTCTTCAATATTGATGTCAAAAGTCAATCTGTCATCAAGCTAGATCAACTCCCAAACATTTATTCGAGACAACAGGTGAAATTACATTATTGTTCATGATAATGCTGTTGTACAATTCACCAACTTTGTTGGTCAAATTTTGTTTAGATCCTATGACAATAAGCTTAGCCTTAGAAGGATGGGATTGGAGTTTATTTACATTTAACCAATCTGTGACATTTTCTAAATCAGAGTTTATATCATTAGCCAGCGCAACAGAGTCGTACGAAGAGGCGAAAATTTGGGTATCATCTGCGTATAGACAGGGTGTTGTTGTCTTTAGACAGTTGGGTAAATCGTTGATATAAATTAGGAACAACAACGGGCCAAGTATGGAACCTTGTGGAACCTCGCAAATTATTTCACCTTTATTAGAGAGGCAGCCATTTACTTGACACTGTTGTTGCCGATTTGAGAGGTAGGATTTAAACCATGCAAGTTCAAGTTGAGAAACGCCATAGAAAGCTAGTTTTTCAAGTAGTATAACATGATCTATTGAATCGAAAGCTTTTCTGATATCAAGGAAAACTACCCCTGTTAACTTGCCATTATCCATATTTTTGTACCAGTTATCACACATTTGAATTAGAGCTGTAATTGTAGAGTGCCCTGGTCGAAATCCGGATTGGAATTTGGATATAAGGCAATTTTCGTTTAAATGTTTGTAAAGTTGTGTAAAGATTTCTTTTTCGAAAACCTTACTTATTATCGGTAGAATTGATATTGGTCTATAATTTCCCAAAGTTCGTTTGTTGCCTTCCTTATAAATCGGTATAACTTTCGCATATTTCCAATTTTCTACAAACACTCCAGTTGAAAGTGATAGATTAAAAATATAAGTTAAAGAGGGTGCAATTATATCTGCAGCAATGCGTAGCATTTTAGCCGGAATTTTATCAAGACCGGCGCCTTTCGAAACATTTAGATGTCTTAGAGTTTTCAAAACATTGTCCACTGGAATAAACATAAAACGAAAGGATGGAATAAATAACTTGTTGTTTTCCAAATAAGTTTCAACCTTATTTGTTGACTGATTTGAAACTTCAGAAGCTAGTTTAGGCCCAATATTAATAAAGAATTCATTAAAAGCTTCAGATATATTTTCATCGTTGCGAATAATTTTATCGTCAATTTCAATTTCATTAACATGTTTTTTTTTACTGGCACGACCAATAAGAGAATTAATTAGTTTCCAAGTAGTTTTTGGATCGTTCTTATTACATTCGCCAATTTTTTGGCAGTAATAGCGAGATTTACTTCTCCGAATTTCAATATTGACTCTGTTTCTGGAGGCCTGATAAAGTCTCCAGTGGTACTCAGAGCCATATTTAATTGATTGTTTTTTATGATAATCACGATTACGCATAATTTTTTTAATGCTCGAATTTAGCCATGGAATTGCGGTATGCCGTATACGCTGAAGTCTTAGAGGCGCATGCCTATCTAAAACCTCATTAAAATTATTTTCCCACGCCTTCCAGGCCAAATTAGGATCATTAATGGTTTCTATTGTTTGCCAAGGTATATTAAGCAGATCACAAATGAAATTTTCCTTCACAAAGTGTTTTAAGTTTCGTACTTCTTTTTTCATTTGTCTACGCTTATATGGGATAAATTTGCGGACAACGTAGATTAAACTATGGTCAGACATACCATTATGAATAACTCCTGATTTTGCTATGTTTCTTGTCTCATTTGTGAATATCAAGTCTATTAAAGTGGCTGATCTGTTTGTCATTCGTGTAGGCTCCGAAATCAGTTGTTGCAACTGATATGTAGATGATATCGTGGTTGAAGCCAACGTCAAGATGTGTTTGCCCTGTCAAGCCTCTACCCAAGGAACGTCTTCACCTCCAGAACCACTGAAACCCTCCCCGCTCCCAGAGAAAGCTTGGACCAATGTAGCAGTTGATTTCGTTGGACCATTTCCCACAGGCGAATACCTGATAGTCGTGATTGATGAATACAGTCGATACCCGGAAGTCGAAATTCTCATCACAACATCCGCGAAAGCCGCAATTCCAAAGCTTGATGCCATATTCTCCAGACAAGGCATCCCTGAGATTCTCAAGTCAGATAATGGCCCTCCATTTAAAGGTGAAGAGTTTGAGAACTTTGCCAACCACCTCGGTTTTAAGCACCGCAAGATAACCCCATACTGGCCAAGAGCCAACGGCGAAGCTGAACGCTTCATGAAAACTATTGAGAAAGCAATTCGAGCTGCCACAGTTGAAGGTCGGAACTGGAAACAAGCCATGTATACCTTCCTTCGCCAGTATCGTGCCATACCACATAGCACCATCTCCGTATCCCCTAGCGAAGCACTAAATAACCGAAAGCTAAAAACTCACCTTCCAGATACCCCATCAACACCAAACAACTCCGAGAAAGATGAGGAGATACGTAGTCGAGACGAAAAGAACAAATCAACCATGAAATCATACAGCGACAAACGAAATCGTGCCAAGCCAAACAACATCACCCTCGGTGACACTGTCCTCCTACGACAACCGAAATTGAATACACTGTCCACACCATTTGACCCTGAGCCCTTCCGTGTTGTAGCAGTTAAGAACTCGATAATCACCGCAAGAAACAAGCTCAGAACAGTAACGCGCAATTCCTCCTTCTTTAAGAAAATACCTCATCTCCCTGTTCATCTCGAAATCTCCGACGACGAAGACAATCCACCTAAAACAACCACCCAACCTTCACAACCGCCTTCGCCACCACTGAGGAGATCCTCTCGACAACCAAGACAGCCGGAATACTATGGTTATGCGAACGCAACAATATATACATTTTGAAACGTGGCACCATTTTGGTTTATTGACAACTACGAACTGAAAATCGTTAACTAATATTTTAGATTTAAAAGAAAAAACATTTTATAAAGAAGGGGAGGGATGTAGTGTCCTTAGATACAGTATCGTATTGCATCTCAAACTAACTAGAAATACATGCATGCAGTAACCCCTCTATTGCCATACATTAAACATGAAGTATTCAGAAATGACCAGCACAGAACGCAGGCTCGCGCTCAAGTGTTGCCATGACAACACGATATTCTTAAATTTTTATTTTCATATATTTTGTACAAAACTGCAAAATAGTTGAAAGATTCGTACTTTTAACTATACCACATGAAATAAATTTCTGAAATACATACTGTAGGTATATATTAATTTGCATTTTGTGAGCTTTGGTTTAATGTAAAATTTAACTTGAAACGCTTCGTAAAATGTTTGGAAATGTTCATTCAAGTAAACCTACATTTTGCCGATAAACTGTTTTTACTTAAACAAAACATGATAAGTTTAATACAAATAAAATAAAATTGTTAGGTAATTTCAGTTCAGTCTTCAAATCAATTTGTTCGCCTTTACATTTTAAGATTTTTTCTCAAATTAAACGGTAATTTATGAAACTTAGAGCTTCTATAGTTCATGTTTTTTATTACGTAAAAAGTTAAAGAAACAAAATTCGTAAACATTTTAAAAATATTCAAAGCAAACTTGCCGTATATTTCCCGATTTCCCGTAGTAAACCAACTCTTCTCATTTCTTCAAACAAAATTGCTTCAAGCTTGTTGTATATGAAACGATTTTCCAAATATATGTCTTTTAAAATTGAAATCTTGCTTGCCATATTTTTGAGATAAGTGAGGATGACCACCCACTCAAGATCGTCGCTCGTTGGTCAGCGCCCGCGATGATTGATGAACTTTAGACTTCGCTAATGCTTTCGTTTCCCCGAGTGAAAATAGCCGGGGGGAATTAGTACCCTCGCACGGCGCTTCGCGCCGTCGGCTCGGTGATTACCTTATGCTTGTATATAATATTTATTTTTTAATATCACATTACATTATTATAGCATACTTGTCAGGGGCGGATCTAGAATTTTTCGTACCTCAGTCAAAATTTTTTTGGCGACGGGGCGTTATCGGCGCTGGGCGTGGTCTCGAATGGGCGTGATCGACTCCAGGCGAGGGGGAGGGGGGGGGGGCGCTAAATAGTTTTTATGCTGATAGTCTGCCACTGGATTTTTAGAATTTTCCGTACGTAAAATACGATTTGCCCCTCCTCTTTTAACCTAAATCCTAATTGACCAAATAATAATTATCACTTATTTACTGAGACCAAGGCCGGCGAGGGAAACAGTGTGTTTTGTGGACCCGAGACCGCCGTTGTTGCCCGAGGCGAAGCCGAGGGGCCACAAAACACACTGCTTTCCCGAGGTCTCAGCAAATAAGTGTTTTGTTATATAGTATATAAGTGTCAAAGTATGAATAATTCACCGGTTATTGGAGTAAACTTAATTTGAAACCAAAACTGGATAAATGGAACGCCGTAAATGTTTAGTAAAAAGTTTAAAAATGAACTTTGGAAGTTCATGGTTGACACGCATGCGTATTGCACCCATTTTATTATTGACCGGTCATAAATGTTTCATTGCGGACCGGTTGCCGAACATGACGTTTTGTGGACCGGCACGTGATACGGTTTTGACCAATCGGCAAACAGAAAAATTGAACTTTGACACCAACTATATAAAAATACATATTTAGATTCAATTGATAAACTCAAACGAACCGATTTGATTCTTATCCACTGTAAGAAAAACTACAAATGCACAAAGGTATATTGATCCTATTTCATTACAAAATTTTATAGATATGTTACAATTATATAATACTTTACTGTCGTTACAATAGGAGTGTTGATAAAATATCGCATCAATTCATTACTTAGAGCTGCTCAATTCGTTTGTTCGAACAATGGTTTTACGTTTCAGTGACTGGTTGACCAATTGGGAACATGCATGCCAGTAAACAGGAATTTGAGCAATTTTTGATCAAATGAATTGATCATGATGTTAGATAATGAATTGGTGCAATTTTTTATCAACTCTTCTATTGCAACGATAGTAAAACTCAGCAGCAATTTAACATGTTTGTCTGTGGATTAATGAATCGTCGTCATATTGGTACTATATACTTATAAGTGAATCATTGTAAAACTTCTAAAATCATATGGCAGCATATGCATTAAGGAAATATACTGTTCTGTTACCAAAAACACAGTCAAAGATGAAAGATGTTAAGTCAAATATTAATAAACTCGTACTATTAATAAAGTCTTACTGTGGTCTATATATTGAACACAAAATATACTTTTAATAAACTAGTAACATCAGAGTGGCTACCAGTCAATGAGCTTTTCAAGCTACCAAATTAAATATTTCACATCATCATGTTACACCAGACCATGGACATGTTGTGTGATTAATGCATAAATATAAAGAAATTTTAAATAAAACTTCACTAACATGACAATCAACAAATGCTCACAATGTGGACATTGAATATTAACATATTTTAGCTTCTTGACGCGAGAATTATGCTAATACAGCAACACAGCATAGCTAATATATTAAAATATCATATGTCAGACAATCACGGATGGCTTGGTACACCGGTTTAATATAAACTAAATATACATCACTATAAAACCATAAACTTATATACCTTATTGCAGTGGAAGCTTGTCTTTCTCTAGCAGTAGCTCTCTGCGCCAAAATTTCTAGCGAGGCTTCTACTTGTGTTGTTGATGGCGCCACTCAGTAGCTTGTCAACAAAATTCGTCCGTGAGGCAACGATATTCTTTTCAAGCTCCGTATACAAACGTTGTAGAGATTCCAAATCGTTTGACGCAATCGCAAACTGAACATTGTCGAAAATGTTTCCAGATATCGCTGGTAGAAATCGCTCGTAAAAATAGTAAAACTTATCAGATAGACGTTCGAAATAGTAAACACTCAGAGGTAAACACTAATGCCGTGTTGACAAATACCTCACGCTGCGAATCCGTCGAAAATATAAGCCAATGACAGTGCAGAATTTTTTTAAATGGTTCAATCAGAAGGCTCATACAGAGCCCCTGAATCTGCAAATCCGTCAGGCCTCCCCACAGATCCGTCGCAAATGGCCGTAACCATGGAAATGAGCGTGTCAGCCAATCAGATAGCCGGATTTAACCCCCGAATCCGTCAACTTTCATGCGTAAGACAGCTGTTCGTGACTGACTAACATTGACTTTGCCGAGGTTTTGCCGCAGCATGAAACGTATAACTGGACTACCGGTACGATTCAAAATTTTAGTGACTCGATCTACTGGCCACTATAGATAGCTGGAGTCGAATTTTTTTTAATTAGGTAGACAATTTTACTTCAGTCGCGCGACTGATTTGACGACCCCTAGATCCGCCCCTGCACAAGTACGTGCGTGTGTTCGATTCGAGGTTATAATATAAACACAACAGGAACGTCAAAATTCAATTCTTTAATATCAAAATTCAATTCATTGATATCATAAAGCACGGAACGAACAACAAAATCTAGAACTTGGAATGCAAAATTCAAATACTAATTTTGGCGGTAATCACCCTCCATAGCTATGCTATTCTAAACCAACTGACAATAAGAAAGTAACAATATACTACTTTCTAAATAAATGTTTCGACCAATGGCAATGCTCCAAGATGGCCAGCAGTCGCTGGCCATTCGTAATTTTAGCCTTCGTCACCTGTTACCAGCTTACATGATATGCCACGAACGAGAAGCCATTGTGCGGAGAAATGAACATTTTAAAATCATTTCATACACATGTATATTTTTTCCGAAATTGCGAAGTTTTCTGGATTTTAGATTCTTTCTAAAATGAGATTTTTTATTTAAATTTGTAAATTTCAAGAGTTTGAAATACTTGAATATATTTTCCAAGACCATTTTAAGATATCCCATTGCGAATAAAAATCGCCAAATGGGAAGGACTTGAGATTACCAGTCGAAAACAAAATTTTTATATCTCTGCTGTCACAAAATATTCTCAGAATTTTCAAACCGATTTGCCCAAATGGAGGTCGCTGTATATGGGAGAAACATTATATGGCCATTGCAAGGCTCTGCAAACTTCTGGTTTCGTAAACTGTTTTATCCACAAAATTTCGTTGTCTAATCGCGAGTCAGATCATTTATAAATTTTATCGCCAAGTCTGGATTATTCTTATCTTGATTATTTGAGTATTCTTTTGACAACTATTCCTTGTTATTCTTTTGAATTTTGACTATTCGTTTACGCAGAGAATATAATTTCAACACTATAAGATACACCATGGAACGGCCGAAAAATCGGCCATTTTAAATTGGCCGTGTTAGTCCAGATTTTAACGCAATGATAGAAAAATATCTCTTTCGATAGTTGAAGGCATAAACTTTATCAGGAATGGGAAAATTAAACCTATACATACCCAATACTTAACGCACACATCCGTCCCTGAATGTAATGAAATAATTTAAAGAAATGAAAGCATTTTTGTTTTTCTACGTTTTATTTGACTATGTTGTAGTTATATTCAGGAATGGATGAAATTACAAGCATAACAGTGCATGCCTTGCAGTATATTCCCTAGTCACAGCTACCGTCTTTCTTACAGTGATGATGATATGCCTAGCCTATTAATATTGAGGGTGTATAAAAAAAACTGAACATGTAGATCTGAAATTTCTCTCAATTTTGCAAAACAGCTATTAGTATCCAGTTTTTGATATATATATAGCTTCTTTGGGTACTTATAATGTAGAATAATGAGAAAAAAAATTGGGAGATTTCAGACAATTTGCTTCAATTTAAGTTCTTTAACTATTCACGCAAACTTACATTTTTTCCTAAAAAATCAGCCTTTTGCATGCTTAATTATATAACGCCTTTGCCTAATTTGCATATGTCGGCAATATGCAAATTAGGTA